CATGGTTGCAGAACCTGGGGTGTTAGACAATGACGCGATGCACGACAACGCAACTTTGAACAGGGTGGAACTGAAGACGGTCAAATAGAATTATCACTTTATTGTCCCCCTTGTAGAATTGGTGTGGATGCCCAAACGAATTCGATGTAGGAATCCTCCTTACGGTAAAATGCGGTGTGATATGTGTGGTTATGTGGTAATTCTTGCATTTGAAAAACGTGTGCATTTGATTCGGCGATTCTTTTGATTTTCTGCACTCGACGTGATAAAGAGTTGTTGTAGTACTCGACCATCTTCGTCACCGAACACATGGAGTGCGAACTGTCATATTGCCGGCAAATAACCGCCTGTCTGAGTCATGCGTTAGGCTTCACCGGTATCATTCAGTGCGGCAAAGCGACAATAGTTCTTGGGTTTCAGGTGATTTGACAGATACCAACTGGCTACATGACTACCTTTATGCAGTGCACTCATTTGAATGATACCATAAAGAAGAAGCTAATGTGCCTGCCATCCAAACTCGCCTACTTTTCGAACAAGTGCATACGTACGACTTGGCGGACGATATGATGTCGACGTAAGATGGACGAAAGCGGTAGTAGGCTGCCTGGAATTTTCATTGACCTCATGATTAGCGTTAAATCTGTGACAGTTTATTACTGTAGGTTGACAGGGTCCATTACTGTGCTGTGGTCCACTTTCGGTCGGTTACGAAATGTTCTCAGGCTAATCGTTGAACCTGGCGAACAAATCAGACGCCACCTGATCAACTACCGTGTTCTAATTAGTTTTGTAGGCGTATTGTGTCCAGATCACAAAAAAGACACTGAAACGCGCATCTCTGAACACCTTCATAATACTTGAACTAAATCGCCATGGTCAACCGGCTGTAAGATGCGGGAGGTTATGCATCTCACAGGACGATTGAGGCCATTAGGTTATGCGCAGTTCGTAGCCAGCAGTCAATAGGAGCAGACAGAAGTGGGCGGCAGATGATGTATTGAGGACTGACAGGAACTGGTTCTACGGACAAACGGATTAGTAGGCATCATGAATTAAACAAACGTACAATCAACAATGACGCAATCAGTAGGAACGGAAAATAGTTACCGACGCAGTGCAGGAATTTCTGGAAGCAACAACAAGTAAGCAGTAAACGATGTACAAACATACATATGGGGACAGTCTGACGATGTGAGTTCGCCGTATAGAGAGATAACGACGTAGAAATCAGTAAGTTTGGGACGTGGGCGACTGTCTTTCGGTCGACGGTGCGACGCGGCAGCTCGCGTCACGTGACAATGCAGATTGCGCGGTTTCGTCCGTTTAAAANTCATTCCATGGGCTACACGATCACCCATGTGAGACGGTAAAACGGGAAAACAGATTTGGCGGATGCTAGGTTTTTCCCCAGAATAACTCTGTATTAGACATGCATTTTCGACACAAAATCAACCGACCGACCGGGCAACTGTTATCTTTCCATCAGTCATCCTCCATTTTTCACAAAGTTTATCTTAGTATAGATGACTGTCGCCTATTCGTTTTTGCTGATCTACATGTTCGACTGGGTAGAAGTTGACAATTGAATAATTGGTCTCCCAATGAGCAATGAGCATACACACGCGCTATCAAATCGGTCTTGTATTATTTTGGGTAAAATTTTAATGATTCTCCTTCACGGAGTGGAGATTTCACTTTACCTACATCCTAAGGTTGCGACCCAACCCCATATTTTCCAGGTGACCGTCCAATTATCTACGACACTAAGCNCTGTGTTAGACATGCATCTCCGGCACTAAATCAACCCACCGACCGACCAACTGCTTCTTTCCATCAGTTGTCCTCAAATGGTCACAAAGTTTATCTCAGTATGGATGGCTGTCGCCTAATCGTTTTTGCTGATCTTCATGTACGACTGGGTAGAAGTGAACAATTGAATAATTGGTCTCCCAATGAGCAGTGAGCTTACACAAGTGCTATCAACTCGGTATTGTAGTGTTTTTGAGCAGAACGTTAATGATTCTTCTTCACGGAGGGGAGATCCCATTTTACCTATATCCTAAAGTTGCGACCAACCTCCATATTTTCTAGGTGACCGTCCAATTACCTAGGAGACTAAGCTGACAATCTGGAAACCTTCTATTCAGATTTCATCATGTAAGTGAAACCGATGTATGCTGAAATGCCGAGAGGCATTGCACTGCTGTTCATCCTATTTGGAATCGTGAGCCCTTCGCATCTGATATAAGTGCTCGCGAACTACCATGATCAGTGAAGTGATGATCACACTGCGCATCGGGCGCGCAGTGGCCCACGAATAGCTAAGTATTCCAGCTACTAACCAGAATATCGATGGTTCGAGATTATCCACGGGATTTGCGTGAGATGCGCACTGCCGATGATTCCCAATAAGGATGGGCGAGCTGTACGGTGGTTGTTGGCTTTCCAACATAGAGGCGCTTCACTTCCAGGACGAAAACCTCGAGAATTGTCATATCTCCACATATTTTGAATATTACTTTAGGTGTGTATGAAGAACATGATTGTAAGGTATTTTCTTTTTGAAGGTGGAATACTATTTCACTCATCCAGATCATCGAAAACTCAGGCTGTTTGAGCAGCCCTATTTGAACTTAGCTCAATGGAAACATATGACAATGAGAAAGAACATTTGTGTATGCCTGAGTGGTGAACACCGATTAACACGCGCACTTCTTCTAAACTGTGTGCGTGTGATGTCATTTGGGACGATTTGTCCGCGACGCTTAAATCTGCGTTACTTGTCAGCTTGCATTGCAGATGGGACATGTTGGTTTTGTTGCCGAATGAAAGAACTGGACTACCAAAACTGCTTTCGCAGTTGCGAGCCTCGGGTAAGATAGCATCGGTACTCAGTGAAACATTTGTCGGACAAGAAGTTTATCTGAGTCTTCCGAAATTCAAATTCTCCGAAGGGGAACCTTTAGATGTGAAGGAGGTGTTCGAAAAATGTGGGGTTCGAGAGCTGTTCGGTGCGGGTGCGAATTTGAGCAAATTGTCAAATCTGAAATTATCTGTATCGGATGCACTACACAAAGCAATACTGGAGGTAAGCAATTCTCTCTTCTGACAACACACGTGTTCATAATTGGAATCCGTTTTTTTCGGAAATTGCATTCCAGTTTTCCGCTCAAATTGACTGCCTAGGCAAGGGAAGCTACTAGTGTGAGCCATTTTGCTGATTCTTAGTTGAACCCGCTTTTTGTAGCGGGAACTCAGTTTTGAGTTTCGTACAGAAAGGAATGATGACCCGGTGATGCTAGGCAGGAGTTTATGCGTAAATATCCACTTTTGATTGAGAATCTCCACCGTCGCTCAATCGCGTTGAAGTGAATGATCCCGGAAGATGAAATGCAGAAGCTTCAACCGCTTTTAGCTACTTGTGCAGCATGAGTAGTCTATTTGGAATGAACCGTAAAACCGCATGGGTAACACATCTGGGAGGTTGTTACCCTGGCAGACAGACTGCGCAACATCATGCAAATTAAATCCGTGTGTTCGGACAGAAAAGTGGCACCATTTCCTCTCAGTGTAGTCTGCCTGCACTGGAAATCTGACAGAAATTTCTTCCGCATATCAGCCGTCATGACTTTGATATACTGCCGCCCGAAGTATACACGTTTTCCTATCATGGTCACATGTGTGTTTGTGTGTTTAGGATGGGAGGTACAGTGTTGCGAAAAAAATAAGGAAAGACTGGAGAAGGTGGGATTTCTGATAGCAATCGGGACTAGCCGTTGCAGTTGTTTTTCTGTCGTTCTTAATATCAGCCTGCAGGAGGGTTGAAGCTTGTTTGTCTGTCTTAGTTTTAAGCACTATCGGTCGAAGATATTAGACATTTGGTGGGAATTCGAATGGGTATACATTGTTGGACTTTGGCCCGGTGGATTTTGCACGGCAAACTGGCTAACTGTTGTTTGGGTGATCTATTTTCATTCTGTGTTCTCTACATTCCAGGACAATAGTCCTTCATCACACAAAATCTATGGGTTGCCTATCAAATGTTCCCCTAACTTGAGGTCAAATTCGCAATAGCGGTGGATGGAACGATAAGATATTTCCTCTCGAAATTAAATATTTCGTTTCCAACTGAGTATTCATGACCGCCCAGGTAACAACAGTCTTCGGGGCTTTGAGACCTAGCAGAGTGGCAACATTTGTACTTCGTAATAACCTCGAATATTCCTTGTACTTCAGCTGGAGTTAAGCTCCCCCTTCTAATCCACAGGTGGACGAAGAAGGAGCCACCGCCGCGGCCGCAACTTCTTTTCGTGTGGCAAAGTGCGCACGCGTAACATATGTAAAAATTCGCGTGGAACATCCATTCGTCGTTGCGCTCATTTGTGATTCAAAACTGCCTGTATTCGTCGGACATGTGGTCAAACCTGAATACAAGTAGGCACGTTGGGCGACGGCAGTGTTACAAATTAGAAATCGTTCTCTGGATATTTTTCTTCGTTTTTCTTGTGTGCGCCGGAATATCATCAAGTTCACACAATGTTCAACTCCAGTAATAAACGAGTTTTTATCTGCCATGTTTGCGTTCTAGTACGGTTTGCTATTTGGAACGTGGACGGTACGCTTGCTGATTGGCCTCATGGTGGCAGAACCTGGGGTGTTAGACAAAGACGCGATACACGACAACACAACTTGAAATAGGGTATAGAATAAGTGTGGATGACAGAGGACAACGCCCAAATGAATTGGATGTAGGAGGAAGCCTTCTTAGGGTAAAACGCAGTGTGATGTATGTGCTTATGCGGCAATTCTTGCATTTGAAAAACGTAGGCATTTGATTCGGCGATTCTTTTGATTTTATGCACTCGGGGTGATAAAGCGTTGTTTTAATACTCGACCATCTTGGTTAGCAAACACATGGAGTGCGAACTGTCATATTGCCGGCAAATAACCGCCTGTCTGAGTCATGCGTTAGGCTTCACCGGTATCATTCAGTGCCGCAAAGCGACAATAGTTCTTGGGTTTCAGGTGATTTGACGGATACCAACTGGCTACATGACTACCTTTATGCAGTGCACTCATTTGAATGATACCATAAAGGAGAAGCTAATGTGCCTGCCATCCAAACTGGCCTACTTTTCGAACAAGTGCATACGTACGACTTAGTGGACGATATGATGTTGACGTAAGATGGACGAAAGCGGTAGTAAGCAGCCTGGAATTTTCATTGACCTCATGATTAGCGTTAAATCTGTGACAGTTTATTACTGTAGGTTGACAGGGTCCATTACTGTGCTGTGGTCCATTGTCGGTTGGTTACGAAATGTTCTCAGGCTAATCGTCGAACCTGGCGAACAAATCAGACGCCACCTGATCAACTACCGTGTTCTAATTAGTTTTGTAGGCGTATTGTGTCCAGATCACAAAAAAGACACTGAAACGCGCATCTCTGAACACCTTCATAATACTTGAACTAAATCGCCAGGAATTTCTAGAAGTAACAACAAGTAAGCATTAAACGATGTACAAACATTCATATGGGGGAAGTCTGACGATGTGAGTTCGCCGTATGGAGAGATAACGGCGTAGAAATCAGTAAGTTTGGGACGTGAGGAACTGTCTTTCGGTCGACGGTGCGACGCGGCAGCTCGTGTCACGTGACAAGGCAGATTGCGCGGTTTAGTCCGTTTAAAATAAATTGCGCCAAAGGCTATCTGGCAGGTGTGGTACATGCGTAATACGAAATAATAAACCGCTCTGGGTGTCAGGTTGGTACACCGGGTGGTGCATTCGTCTGCTGGCCGGGAACTCTGGGTGCGATAGCCGGCCAATCCGCTTTTCCGTCGGAGTGGACGCTCGGAAATAGGTACAACCGAGACAAACTTGTAGGCAGTGATGGAAGGGCAACAAAGTATTGACACCAGTTACTGAAGAATAAGCAGACCTTAAGTAGGAACGAAACAGGGGGAAAATGAGCAGCAACAAAACAAACGGTATCATAATAGACGGGCGTAAGTCACGTTACTCGTCAGTAGTTAGAAAACAAGGATATTTACCGCGGTTCACCATTGATTCACAAAGGGAATCAACACTAGCTATTGCGTACACTTAATACCTGTGGATTTTCGGATCAACTGCGTGAACATCGGAGAAGAATAAAACCCGAAAAACCTGTCCGACCTCGATTTTCACGGAGCGAAGGGGGAAGTTCATTGCTCAAATGGAACTCGAACTGTGATGGAATGGAGGTGGTCGAAATCGGAATTTAATAAAAAGTAAACTTTAATGTTTTAGCGCGAATCGGCCCCTCACAGATTGTGGAAGATAAGGAGTTACCTGGGTTTGCGACATGTGTGGTTCTTTGCCCTGTCGGACGATTTTGGATGAATTTTTCATAGTAGCTGAATGCCGTTGTAGGTAGACTGCGCCTAAATTTGCACGGTCACCACCGTCAGTGTTAACTTACCCGTAATAACACTGGTGGAAAAATTGAGCTAATCACCTACGTGCGTAAAATACTCCGGCCTACAGAGAGTTAGAGGTTCTTCACTCACCGAACTTTTCTTTATTTGCTTGTATTCAAAATTGTCAAAAGTGGAGGGCGTGGATAAATTGTAGTACCAGAGAATTAAAGAAAAAGGTGAAATACCATCTGTTTGGAATATTCCAGAACAATGGCCATCCGAAAATTTCTTCACGAACACATTCTAGCAATTCGAACAACAAGGCCAGACGGATAGTTTTGGCTTACATCAAGAATATCTTTGAAATCAGCTGGATTATTTGTTAAGGAATAGTTCCTCGCAGTCCGCAAATAGAACGTCACTTAAAGTTACCTGAACTCGAAACCGAAGGACAACCAAAATAAAACCAATTGAAACAGTGATACGTAACAAGTCTACTGTAGCAGGCTCAACAATCCGTACTTCGTATAAAAATGGAGGGAATCATGCACGTGAATGAACGCACACAACGCTGTTGCCTGGAAACGTGACTCACTACCTGTATAGGTGTAATACACCACTCATAATGTTGCTGAAAGCTCTTCGACAACCCACGACCGGTTTCGCCCTTCTTGGGGCTCATCAGGTAGGCGCGGTTCCGAGTTTTCGTCAATTTCATGTTCCATGTGAACCAATATTGTGCGAAATTAGCAAAAGATATTGTTTTGAGGCATCTTAAGCGAGAGATTTAGCTGCGTTTTAGTTGAGTCCCTCGCAAAAACAAAATTTGTTCGTAGATGAGACTCTCTACCCTTTATGTCCACACAAGAAGTCCAGAAAAGTCGAAACCTTACTCTGGAAAACGTTGAAATTTTGGCGTTCGCAGACGTGGGACGCTGAGAGGACTTCTAGAAACATGGTGCTTCACAATGGAGTTGATTAACCGGTGCACTGAACTAAATCCAATCTATGTGCCATCATTTGCAAAGGACCGATATCTCAACTGGAGTACTGGAAGATAGCCAACCATTGCATCACCAAATCAAGAAACAAGAGTCAGATCGAAATTGGTCACAAAGTGGAGCCCAGTGGGATCATGGGCACAGGCCATTCTGGCATCGACCGGAAAAACGAGAGCACCGGAGGGCAGACTCAAAGTCGATTGGTCACAGAAAGATTAGGACAGGATAATAGACCAACCAATGCCTGACCAAACAATCAGTCGTGACCACAGGTCACATCACGTATACTATCACACACTCGACACTACTCAACGTACGACAGCCGCTCCGTCGTTAAGCTTCAGCGCGCTCCTTAAAAGCGCACCGATGATACCAAATCAACTGGCGATGAAACGTTTGCAGTTTTCGAGTTATTATTCGCTTGCGGAGCTGATTCACCGACTAGTCAAATATCCACAGAGCAAGTAAAAATTTTCATTGTTTGTGTCAATACTATTGGGTCCATCTTTTTGTCCTACTCTCATCGTTTCGTTTCGGTTGATCTAACCTAATGGTATGCCACATGCTACAGTGCGCCGAGTACTTGATACGCCACTCCGAATGATCCAGTCTGGTTTTTATTGGCATTTTAATACATTTGAGTCGGTTGCCGAGCTATGGTTTATTTGTTGACCAAACTGTGAGGTTATATTTTTGATTCTGTACTGAATCAGGGCTCGCTGATCAGCCGAATCATTTTATGCAAGCGTATCCTGCCCTGCGATTATGGATACAGTCACTTTAAACTGACAAACCAGTGTTCAAAACTTTGAGTCACGTTATGCCATATACTTTCCCATAGTTACTCACATTCATTGTGAAGCAAATCAAAAACTCATTCAGTGCCGCAAGCAAGGCAAAGGAAGCCAACCAACGAATCGTTCGGTTCCTACGAAAATCAGCCCCTTCCTGCAGTCTCAAGGACTTTCTTTGGGATTTGCTGATTAGTTTGCTCGAAACAACAACAACGAAGTTGCATACAGCAGTTGGGCAAAGAAGTTCATGTACTGTACATTTTACAAAAGGATTTATCCGGACCTACATAATGAAATTACTCCCAAGTTGTAAGCTGAAACAGACTAGTGCAAAATTATTATTTTGCATCAGTGGCCAAGGTATGGTTCGATCCCGTCGGTAGACCAGTTTAACACGCAACCGTCTACTCTGAATTATCTTCAGCACTCTCCTGATACGACCTTAAACATATTTACACGCCTTTGTGCTTCCGAAAAATTGTATCTATCGCCGTTTCCTCTAGGTGGTTTCTTCCCTTTATCAGACCACCGGCGCCCAAATCACTCCACCCAGTACTCGGCATACCACGTGCATCAGTGCCCTTTTGCCGAAAAGACCTAGTTGCAGTGCCGTTATCTGTTCAACCAGTGCGGACGACTATCCGACTATCAGAAATTTTTTCTGATAACTCAACACTCGTCGCTGATAACCTGATAATCATTTGGTGTGGATTCTGTAAGATGTCTGGGAAAATTCCTGCCCCAGTCAGTAGTTCAGTGGACCGACGACATCAGTAAGTTGGAGTGTGTCCAGTATCGCCGTATCTGACTTACTGTGCTAAACAATCTAGGACAGGAGCAAATACCTGAGCCGTTGTCACGGTGCAGTTGTAGAAGGCAGCTTACTAACAACGTGCTTCCGTTCCCAACAGCCAGTCCCCATATTTGTTCCCCTTAACCGGATGAACTGAAACCTTGTTTCAATGGACCATTTTTATAACTTTTACGAACTTTGGTCGGACTTTGTGTTTTTTTGCGGTTGCTCGCCGTAGATATCTGTTTCGTTGGGACGATATCGAATTTGTGAGGAAGCGATCTGCGCCTTATCCTCAGGCTGGTAATTGTACCGCCATATTTTGTAAACCTACGGTATCTGCTGAGAAGAATCTGTTGAGCTTTGTTGAATACGTGTATTATTATCTTTGCAATAGTACCGTGATTCCAGAAATAGGATTTCTTGGTCCTTTTCGTGGATTGGCACGCCTCACTCAAGTTCA